CAGAAATCAGTACCAGGAATTAATTAAATAATTTTCCTGTGGAGTAAAGCGCGGCCGGCGCGTAAGACTGACAACCTCAGCGCTATCTCTGAGCCGATTATCTAGAAAATGTGGGAGCCTCGACGTCTCACAACTCTATGGGCCTCCACGTCCTGTTACAGGGATATCTTTACTTTTTAGAAGAAGGACCCAGTAAGCCTCATTCGTAATTTGCAGATTCATGACACAGTTGCTACGGATTCGAGTCCAGAACAGGTCATGTTGGGCTTGTGGTGGACAAAGTGGCCCTGGGGCGAGGCTTCTCCAAATAATTTGACATTCTCCTACCAATTCTCATTCCAACGACTGTTCCCACAGTCTTTCATCTGACGCTATAGCCTCGGTAGGGACAGCGTCGTTAAACAATCAACTAAAAACACAAATCCATAAAATTTATTCAACGTTATAACATTCTTCACTTCAGTTTTAGTCTACTTTCCTAAAGTTGGCTTATGCGCTGTCCTTCCTCTCTGTGTGTCTGTATGTGTATTCCAAGATATCAACTTTTGTATGCCTGAACAAATTTGTATGAAGCGTAGTATGTATATCACGCCACCTGGATCCTTCTCAGCAGCTCACTTCATGAATGCTTCCCATCAGTCCGCGTGTCCGTATGTGTATTCCCCCTACCGTTGCTAGGTAACGGCTTGGTAAACAATTTCCCGCTGCAAAGCAGAATTGTTAGTTGCGTCGTTTTCTATGCCCTTCATGTAGTCTCAAAAGAAAGTTGACCATTAGTTCTTTCCAAAATTCATAGTCTGTTTCTGACGTCAGCAATTAGAATATATATCGTCGAATTGTAGAATGAATAATGTCTAATGAATTAGAAAGGATTTGGAAGGAAACGGTCATGGCCTAATCTAGATACTATTCAGGCATTTTGTTGGAAGGACTGTGGAGAGTTAGGACACACGATGCCCCAACCGAGATCCGAACCGTGCTGTTGATGTTAGATACTTGGTTAGTTAGAGTAGAAGATTCAGGCAGCAAATTCCTCCGAAACGTCGGTACGTCTGTAATAATCTACACGGCCTCACATATTAATAGACTATAGTGTTAGACCGCTTTTTAGATTGTAAAATAAAAAAAAAGCGAATTAATGAATATTTCTTTCTCCAAAATTCGTTTCTCTTTCCTATAGAACTTCCCGCCCCCTGTGATTTCCAGCTTCATAGTAATTATAACCCTCTCATCTTTCTAGGGCTGTGCTCTGGTTTTGAAATACCTCCCCTTCCCCCCTTCTCCACACTCAAAAGAATCTCTTCCTTCCATATATTGAGGTCAGACGTTGTGTCCTAAACAATAGTACGGTCCCTGCTCCAGCCGATATTAAGGTGGGAGGGAAAATGTCGCATGGCTAGTTTTGTCATGATATTTCAAACACCAGGTTGCTGCACTGACTGCCTAAGCACTCTTTGTCTTCAGTAGGCCTACACTTGGAACTTAAAAAGTAAAGTTGTCTGTGTCATTTATCATCACGCCGTGAAAGTCATATGGGAGTGTGGTGGATAGCTCCATGTGTTCCTAACTTCGGCAGTCGATATAGAAGAATAGTCATGTTCACATCTCTGGTGGTTTTCAGATCAGGGACAGAGCAACCACTACCCTCTGAACGCTGTGGATAAGGGAAAAATATTGCTTATTGAGTACTGAATTGCGTTTCCTTGGTCGTCCAACCCGTATCGAGTCATTATATTGACTGAATTAATCCAGCTTCAGTTCGAACTTAATACAATAATTATGTGATATTGTAGCGTGTAGAACCGTTGCTATGCAGCGACGGTAAGATGGACGGATATACCTACCAGGGACGTTTGTAGGCAAGGGCTAGATAATCATGATCCTGCAGCAACACACATGAACGCAGCAATATATCTGTGTTTTCTATGTAGTCCGTGCCGAAATTTTATAAGCAAGGAATAAGGTTAGACATAGTGAGAAACGACAGACCCGTCCTGTTGTCGGAGAGAGCGTCCCACATCAGCAAACCTGCAACAGTCTGACAGTAATAAAGATCTGGTCTTAAGCCCCAGATGGGTGCTTTATTCCCTGAAAGACTGGCCGACTTACCGTCGGTCGTAACATATTTTTTTTTAATTCGCTTAGTTGGGGATGGAGTCCAACTTGGTCCACTGAGCACGGCGGCCACTGATTGGCCTATTGTACCTGCCCCGGGTGATTATGATAATGGAGAATTTGGTGGAATAAAGATTTGCAGGGGAAACCGAAGTAATCGGAGAAAACCCGCCCCAGCGCCACTTTGTCCACCACAAATCCCACTTGACTAGACCCGGGATCGAACCCGAGCCACCGCGGTAGGAAGCCAGCGACTAACCGTTCGAGCTATAGCGCGGCGTCCGTCGTAACATAATTTGACTTTGACCTAGCGAGTTCTGTACGGGAGTCTGTGAAGAGAGAACTTGAGCCACAGGCAGAGGAAGAGCCATTGTTGGAGCCGTTGCCAGGAAACGTCTAGTAACAGACTGAGAACACTAGGCTATATGCTTTAGTGAACTGTAAAGTGTGGAAATAGCTGTAGTATTATGGTTATTTGTAATTAATAATCTGAAAGTGGTCAGTGAATCTATTCACCCAATCCATACCCCGTCTATAGTCGCACATAGTACGTGACAATATTATTATACAGTAACTCGTACTTCATACACGTATATTGCAGATCCGAGGTTCAAATCTCGGTCCGCATATGTTTCTAGGAGTTTTTCCGCAGGCAAATATCCACGTATGGCTTCAGAATGAGCCACCGAAGTTCCCATCAAAATTCTTTAGAATTCGTTAGGTATTCATTACATCATTAAAAAAAGAATATAAGGAAACGACTTATGTGGATGTTATGCGTGTCCGTCTGGCGTGACCGAAGGTTTTTCATGGGATGTTCCGATTTTTAGCCACGTTGACACATAACAAATTCCAATTTGCTTAAGGCCATGAATGGAGAAAATTGACCGCAGGTAAGCTTAATTAATTTTAAAAAGCGGCGACATTTAAATGTTTTTTACACATGTTTAAGCGTGTCAAATATTGCATTCTCACGGTTACAGTTGTGAAGATTGCTTTTTGGGTACAAGGCTACGTAATCTGGTTGATACCTACTGCCTCCTTCTTATTCCCGGCAGATAGAAGTAGCAGGTTCCTCCGAAATTCTTTAGTGAGCTGATTATCAAATTATTCATGTCTGATCTTTCTTTTCATTAAATTAGTACGATTTCCACAAATTGTGATTAGGCAGTGTAGTTTACCCTTACGATATAAAAAGAAGGCCGTGTTTTGTAGCTCCGTAAGCCGCCTGCAGTCTGATTGTTGTGAGGTCTCGCTTGATTACTTGACAGCCACCGGTGCGTAAGATTGTCCGGGCAGCATCGCGTTTTCCATTGTTGATATGTGCACCATTGTGGCCAACATCACAATTGGAAATAAAACGGCCAACTTCTAACAATTAAAGGGACGCTCTCTATCAAATGCTTTGATTTTCCACATACTCAAAATTATGTATGTAACGTACTGGTATACAACTTCTGTGTATAAATTGAGACTTCCTGTGTTTGAAAATGAAATCCCTGAGGATTGTAGTTGTTTAATTTTACCAACAACTGGAGCAGTGGAATACATCCTGTGAACAAATATGATAGGCAAGTAACTGTGATGTATATTGGGTTACCGTAACAACCATAAAATGAACTCAAACTTTCAGAAATTTTACATTTACACAAAAAACCCGCACAAGGCCTGCTGAAATGTCCACGATAATTTGTTATTAACGTCATCCGTAGCTCAGTCACTATTGAGATTCGGCTATTGAAAATTTGGGGTTCTTTTCCTGCCAGAGATACTAACCTAGAACTAGTGCCGAGGTCAAGAAAGACTGGATCTATACGTCCACTCCCTCATACGTGTTCGTTGCATAGTTCTTAATTAGATAAGTACAGGGACATTTACATTTTTATTCCTGTCAGAAACAAATCTTTTTCTCTTGAACACAGTGTCAGTAACTCTTCTGTGGCCTACCAACGGCTACCTGGTGTTAAAGTAGCTTCACGAGGCTACCTGCTTCCATATGTTATTGAGGATAAGAATGCATGGAGCTATACCGTCCCTCCCAGTACGCCTTCATGGTTTATTGTCTAAATGAGCTTTACCTTTTATCAGCATCATTCATATCATCGTACATTTCGAGCCTTTATAGTCTGACTATTTGGCGATGTGTTAAAATAAACCACAAGCAATCGAAAATAACTCCAGTAATGAAAAACGGGATAGAAATAAATTACCCGAAAATGTTGCATAATTCCCGAAACGTCGTATTCATTATATGCCATTCATTATGTAACTGTAGAAGTTGTAATCTGTGTAAGACCTATGGAGTAATATTTATTGCGGAATCTGCCAGGAGTTGTCCTGGTCTAGTCCACACGTATAGGAAACAAAACACAAGGATGAAGTAGTAATGGGCAGAAGATACTTTTGGTTTCCCCCGCATCTAAGGACAAGATAAAAGCTTGGGGTATTCCCCGTATTCTAGCAGCGATCCCATTGTTGTCATGATTCCCTTATTGTCACGATCCCATTGTTGTCATGATCTCAATGCCTATCCTACAGAGGAAATGATGGGGAAGTAACTTGTCTTGGAATCGAACCCAGCCACGTTTACGTTTGTCTCATATCACACCAGGGAAGTCCTCCGAATCATGCCAAATTTGGTCGAAATATGTGCGAAGTTATGGAGCTATATGAAGAACAAAGATACAGACACACTCTTCTTCGTGTGTATAGATAATAGATTACTGTAAGACAGTTTTTATCAGAATGGCTTCCCGTCCAGTACGCACTTCCTCCGTTAAAGATATATGTATGTATGTAAGGGGTGGGCCATAAAAACCGGCTCCCGCACTGCAACCTTCAGTGATCTATAAAGATCGGTAAAGATACTCTTGTTATGATTTCAGAACCGAGTAACTACGTTTGTTCTACGTGCAAACAAAGACTCCATTCGGCCTGGCGTCTCGTCCAGCACGTGCAGAACAGTCATGGCATCAAGATATACGTGGAGTCGTCGCCTTCCTCTTCTTCGACGGGTTCCTCTTCCTCGCCCTGTACAACGTCTTCACTGTCTGCCACGGGGAAGAATGCGATTGGCCCTGCGAATGGTAACAACCATTCTTCATCATCGTCTTCCTCGTGCTCCGGGTCGTCCACATCCTCCGGCTGTTCCAGCTCTTCCGGTGGCAACAGCAGCAATGCCCCTACAACTCCTGTGAGTGCAACACCTCTGTCTTTACCACCACCAGGTGTTTCTTCGAGGTTAGCCCATCATCAGGCTTTACACCACCCTCCACCGCCGTCTTCGTCGCTGGTCGATCCTCATCATCCTCTTCACAACAGTAACCCTTTTGGTGTTGGTGGTCTCCTGAGGATGCCCTTAGGAGACCGATCCCATCATCAGTTTCCCCCCACGTCAATGGCAGCACCACTGAGCAACCACCTCAGTCATCATCACGTCGCGCCAGGGGGCGGGCCCCCCAGCACCGCGGGTCTATTCACCAGGCCATCTAGTCACCACGACCATCACTTCCGGATGGAGCAACTAGTGTCAGAGCAGTTTCGTCTTAACCCTCACCATGGACTAGGGTTAGCTGCTGCTGCAGCTTGCGCCGCCGCAGCGGCTGCAGCTGGAGGTGTCCCACCCCCTCATCCACCATTTGGCCCTCCAGCTTCTGACCGGGTGCCAACTTCTATCCCAACGTCCACAGGACCACCTCGTTCCTCTGCCGTTCCGCCAGCCCCCACGCTTGGCCTCGGCTTGGAGCCACAGCTCGACTTCTATTCACAGCGACTCCGGCAACTGGCCGGTACCACTAGTCCAGGCGCGGCGAATGGGAACTCGTCCCCATCTCCCAGGAAACCCATATTGACTCCACCGTTCACGAGTCCGCCTAGCAGTAACAGTCACCACCCATCAATGAGCTCTGTTGTCACTCCGATACTACTCAACAACAACAATAACAACAACACTAACAACAATAACAACAGCAGTGGCTCTGGCACTTCTCATACCAGCAATCGGCCTGAGTCATTGTCCTCACCGGAGAAGCAGTCTCCACTCTCGGACCCAGTCACCAGCTCTGCTGTAGCACTCACTTCTACACCCAGATCTGCATCTACCCCTCCAACTAATTTAAAAAAGTCAGATTTCTCAAGAAGTCAAACGTCATTGTCACGGACAGCAGAGGCTGGTGATGGCGGTGATACAGGAGGTGGAGGAGAAAGGTTAGAGAGGATAAGAGCATGTGAGTTCTGCGGGAAGAAGTTTCGTTTTCAGAGCAACCTGATAGTCCACCGTAGGACACATACAGGAGAGAAACCATACAAGTGTGCCGTATGCAGTCACGCATGTACTCAGAGTTCAAAGCTGAAGAGGCATATGAAGATCCATCGTCGTGCACTGAGGACGGGAAACGGGCAGGCCGGTGGCGAGGCGGGGACTACCAATGGGGGAAGTACCAACTCGACACCGGATAACATTTCGCATACTGGCTCAGTTGAGACTCTGGATGACGATGGTGATGATGAGGATGATGATGGCGAGGAAGAAGATGATGAGGAAGAAGAAGAAGAGGAGGAGATGGAACTTGAAGAAGAGGAAGGTGATGATGATGACGATGATGATGATCTTGGTGGAGACGCTCCTGAAGACCTCACTACCAAGTCTACATCATCAACTCCACCTAACAACGTGTCTGGAGATGCAAACAAAGCCAAAACTAGCACTCCACGCCCCACACCAACACCAACCCCTCTTGAGAAGATTACTACTTCGGGTTCTTTGGTTGGTGAGTTAATGGACAAATTTGGGTTGAGTAATATCCAACAGTACAACGAAGCATACAAGCAGGCTCTTCAGGAATCTGTCGTTGGGTCACACCAGCTACACATCAACAACAAAGAAGGCCTTCATCATAGATCGCCTCTCATATCAGACAACAACAACGGTGGTGGGAAAACGTCTCCTGTGATCGCGAAGAACAGTCTCGAGAATGGGATGCTCGACAAATCAGCAGCAGCCATGCGGTTTCGTGAAGAGTTCGCGAAAAACATAATAGCTGCGGGCCAACCCCCTTTAGATTTAATTGGTGCTCCTCACGGTCTGTTTGGAAGTAGTGCAGCTTTTGAAAATCCTTTTGATGCTGCTAATAAGCGATTGAAACTTGACCTGGAAAATCATCATAATCATCATTCATCATCACTAGGTCGAGGTGGAGCTCCCAGTACTGATCGAGATGGTCTGTATGCAGGACTTTGGTTACCAGCAATGGCTGCAGCTCACCACAGGGATCACCATCTGTTTGGTGGTGACACCCCGACCATGGACCTCCTCAGTTCCCGTTCCTCAAAGTCAGCAGAAAGTGCTCTATTGAAAGCTAGCAGTGGAGGATCGAAAGCAGGACCAAGTGCTTCATCTTTAGCAGCCGCAGCGGCTGCAGCTGCTGCACTAAACCTTGGCTTATCTGGAGGACCAGGATCTCAACAGCAACACTTGAAGAAGGAGAGCAGGCGCAATGATACATGTGAATACTGCGGAAAGGTGTTCAAAAACTGCAGTAACCTTACAGTGCACCGCCGATCACACACAGGTGAGAAACCATACAAGTGTGAACTGTGCTCTTACGCGTGCGCACAAAGTTCCAAGCTGACACGTCACATGAAAACTCATGGCAGACTTGGAAAAGATGTGTATAGATGTCGGTTTTGCGAGATGCCGTTCTCTGTGCCATCTACATTGGAGAAGCACATGAGGAAGTGTGTTGTAAATCAGAATAACAAGGCTGGAGGGGGACATATCCTTCCAGCACTGATCAGCGGTGGAGAGGACACTGGGGACTCCAGTGCGTCAGCCTCCAAAGACACCACATGACTCTTTCCATGGGGAGGGTTCCGCCATCTTCCTCTTCAAAGTATTTATTAAAAACCTCCACCACACTTTCCTCATGCCCTTCTCCAAATAATATTAAATGCCGAAGAGTATTATCTTCTGGGACATAACGCCGTCTAGCCTGTTGAAAGTTGAATTTCAACGTACTACACCGGTTGACTTGTTAACGGACTACACTGCGTTATGGCCCAGAAAATTGTTCTCTTCATAAACACCCCTGTGAGAACCTCAAATACTAAATTACGTCATACAGTATTCAGATTTGTGTACTTTAACTTCTGGTCTTCTGTTGAGAGTATAAATGATCACCAGAATCACTGATTCTGCACAGATAGATACTTCTGAAAGTTTAAAGCTTCATTTTATTTTACTAACTTAAACCAGATAGGATTGATCACATTCAGTAACTTTGGAAATAAATTCAATCTGGTTACTTTACACTTCCTAGAAGTTGCTATAAATAAAAGTATAATATATGATATATTTGAAATTTAAGGAGGTCACAAATACGTTTACTGTATAACGAACAATCTCTACTCCATCCATTGTTCTTGTCTCCCATTACTACATCTATAACTCCTGGCGGAACATCTCCCCTTCGGTTGAGTCAAAAATAAGTTTATTGTAAAGTAAAAACAATTTAGAACAGGAAAATGACAGGTGAACAATACCTTACTGATTCATATTTGGACTAAAGTCAATAATTATAGAAACCATCTTACCATGAACTAATGATTATACCATCCAGACAACCAATTTGGAAAACAGAAACGTAAGGATCGTCAGAAGATCTATGTTATACTCAGTAACACAGTGATTTCAATTATGTTTCAAGTCAGAAATTGTGTTGGAAGAATCCATTGATACCACACACACACAAAATACACATGGACACTCATATGTACATAAAGTTTCCAGCCCCTAAAATTGTTGTTGTATTTTTTCTGGTATAGTTGGATAAAGGTTTAAAAGTGTTGTTATACTCATTAAAACAAAAATAATATTGATGGGTAGAAACGTTTTTACCCCAAATATCTCTCCCTCTGTTGAAGTACCTACATAAACATGAGAGAAATCTTTACTGTCTTGAAAGTACCATGTCTTTGTAAATGTTAAAATATGGTAGATATCACAACACATCTGCAGCTATGTACCTCAGACTTGTATGGAAGTTTCTTCTTAATGTAAGATTATAAGTTCACTGGAGTCATTATTTATACATCTGGTATTGGTTAGGACTTCAATCCAAGATGTGGACACCCATTCCAGTGAGTATTAAGTGTTAAAGAAATTGGTTTGTGGTTGTAAGACTGTTCACATTTATTTCTATTTATTCTTGAATTTGATAATTGATGTAACTGATACCAAAGCAATGTAAAATTACATGTATTATCATTAAAATTTCATTACTACACAATGATGTTACAATGAAAACTTTAATTGTTAGAAATTTTCTGACCAAATATTTTCGTTCATTCTATTGTAATTAAAAGATATTCATAATGTTGGCCATATTTTGCACAAATGTTTTTTTTTTTTTCATGGTTTGGAATGTATTTCTTGTCCCTTTTCCATCTAATAAACTTTGATAACACTGGTATTTTCCACAAAGTGGGAGGGTAAACTGGGAAAGTTAAAATCATTTTCAACTGTTTTTCTTAGCAAGTGTCAGTATATGGGAAAGGTGACAAATTTGATTGTGGTCTAATTTATTTATTAATACTTAAAGCATATCAGACTGATGTTTAGTAATCAATTTTTATTTTTCTCGATAATGAATAAATATCTACTGATATTTTTTGTAGTGCCCTAATATGTCCGACTATAAGATATTGCCAGAGAATTTATTCTGTTTCTTTATTTTCCTTCTATATTTTTGCTTGAACATACGAAATATTCTTTGTGATGGATTGAGAGCAAGCTGTTCTCAAATTTGTTTCAAAAGACTGAAGATTTTCTTTAATTTATCAAATATATATAGCAGTGTAATACTAGACTCCAGTAATTAATCATAATGCTGAATGGCGTGCTTCTAGAGGTAAGAAAATTAACATACTAACACTATTTTATATTTGCATTGCACTGATTTGCCAAAAAGGATTAACAAAGGATGTGAATACTTTTTTCTTTCTGCATTTGAATATTACTTCAAACAAATGACTAGTGCTCCTACATTTACACATACCTTGTTATAAATCTGAAGTAATCAATTCTTTGACTAGACATACTAAAAACAATAATTCCAGTACTTCAACAATATAATCTTTAATTAATTTTTTACTTATTGTTAAAACTTTGAAACAGAGTTGATCTCTAACATTATACACACTCGTAATTACGTAGTTTATTCTTACAAATTATTTTACACATTAAACATAATTTTATTCTGTTACTGGTTTGATGACGAATTGAAAAAACAACATTTTACCCTGTCAGAAAATAGGACCGGGGACAAAATCTCTGGCACCCCAAGGTGTAAACAGTAACAAATTCAATAAAGTATTAATTTATTCATTCTAACGAACCCTAAAGCAATTGTACAGTGTTATGTCATCTAACAAAGTACTTTCATATTGTATTCATCTTTGGTATAGGACATCTTGAGGTAAATGCATTACACTTTCATTGCTGTGTTGTACAAATGTACGTAGTATTTAATTCAAGATACATATGCAGTAGACCCTCGTTTGAATTCAGGTGCTAGGTTACAGCTTCTGTTACCTGCTTTCTAATCGAAATTGACATTTATCAAAGTTTGGAAATACTCTTATTAAATATATAGTATTTAATATATAATATCATTGTTTTAGGGATTTGCCCCCTCCAGCAGGTCGGCAAGATTTCCAGTCATCCGCGGTTCAACAGGTATAAGGGGTACTCATTAAATTTTTGCTCTTTGAAGAAAAATCCCAATGTTACAGACATCAGAAACGTACAGCCTATTCACAGGGGTCTCTGGACTTTGCCCTCCGTACCCACAACAAGACATAAATGATTGTTGCAATACAGACATGAATTGTAAATAACATTTTCATAGAAATTTGTACAACTTAAAATTTATGTAATCATATGGTAGCGAGAACATGACCAAAGCTCAGATACGACGAGGTCCTACTGTATAAGTTTTGAGGTTTATGTGATATGATTGTCCCAATTGTGGCCTTTTGGGCTTAGACATACGTGGTATTGTAGGTGGATACCGACATTTGTAGGATCATGCTGCTCCTAGCATCGGGGTCGAAGTGAGTACTAGTTCAGGAATAAGATGGTCAGTCATGTTGACCCTGACAGAGGTTGCATCTTATTAACCACCTGCAAGACTACATAGTGCTAAAAGACTTTTAGATAGTCTGAGGGAGCTGAAGATTTATCATGCCTCTAAACAAACTCACTCATTATGCAGTGTCCAACCCAGAAGACCACAATCATAAAATATGCATTTTCATCCAGATATATTTCAAGGGCATGGGCCTTTTAAGGGCATGGCAGAAAATATAGACACATAGGTTTCAGTAAATAATATGAATCATATTTTGATATATTTTATGGGAAATCTGTACCCTTGAAAACTCCATAAACTTTAACATGAAAGATCAACTCTGTTTTGACATATTAGCAGAATAATTAATACTGACATTCCCAAATATCAGCATTTCAGGTTTGTTGTATTCTTTTAATACAGTTACCTGTAAAAACCAAGACTGGATGTGCCAAGTTGCAAAACCATTAATATAAAACAATATGGCCAGAAATATTATTATTTCATATGCTTAATTTGTTATATTCCACTCACTATTCTGTTATATGTATTTAATAGAGGTTATGAGTAACCAAGTGTGTTTTGCAGTGATTTTGATATAGCATTTTTGTGGGGGGAGGGTGTGTTGAATAATTGTAGTAATATTGAAAAGCGAAGAACAGGGTGGTCCTAGCATTATCATCCTGGTGTGAGATTCTTACGTGGTGTTGCAAGGATGAAGTCATTGTGAGCTGCGTACTTTGAAGACACAGTCAGTCACAGTAAACAAGTGTGTGTATGTATGTGTACATAGAAATTAAAAAAAGTAAAATAAATAAAAAGATACGTTATTTTAAATGGTATTTAAATAACAAATCAAATATTGTAGGTGATAACACATACAGACAATTAAAGTAGTAGTAATGATACAAAGAATGGCGACGTATCTTCATCACTTCGTGTTCAATGTGCATGATTGTCATTTGTCTCTCATTCAAGCGCATAATGGGATTTATTTGTTTTGCCTCCCTCGCTTTCTGTATGGCAGTAGACATTTGTATTACAATATTAAAATGTGTGGCTTGTTGTTCTCTAAAACTGTATTTATTAAATATTATTTGCTTGTTACCTTCAAAGAATGTAATTACTGATATGTGTCTGCAATTTTTTGTTCTGTTTAGGGCCTTGACTCTTGAAAGATAAAATATTAGTATTATTATAATTATTATTAATAAAATAAAATATTATGAAACAAAGATTATGAGAAAATAAATATCAGCTATCCACAGTTATTTGCAATATACTTCACATGCAGCCGGTTTACAGAGTCAAGGTTCCAGCATCAAGGGTTATGTTAAGTGCCTATCTTTTTTTTTTTCATTTGATTCCTTTGAAAATTAAAATAAAGGAAAGCAATTTACCAAAAAGTAAAAGAATGAAGCTCGTAAATTTCTGCACGAGAATTGTATTATTCAAGCACTTGCTGCATTGTATGATAAACAAATTAATGTACAAAAAACTTGATGATAATTCTTGTTTGTATAGATCTTCTCTCCCCTTCTCAAACTTTTCCAGCTATTTTCTCTCTTGCTTTGTGTTCTCAATATGCATTATTAGTGGCTTGTAAACTGTAAAATAATTGAAAACTATTTACTTTTTACCCACACACTATATTACAGGGTAAATTGCTATATAAATAGTATTTGTCTAAGAAAGTTCATTTTGTTAACATACAAGTATGGTTCTTGTGACAAACAAAGAGTTTTCAGGGTACATTTGTGAAGAAATGTAATATAAACTGCATACAGTAATAATAAAATACATATTATGTTGTGTGTCAAAAATAACAGACATTGATATACATCAACTTAGAAATACAAGAAGTTCCAAATATTAAAATGAAGTGTCCTATCCTTCTTTTTGAATGGACGTATCTTGTGTTCCATGTATTATATAGATGGAATATTACTTTACACTACATTATAAGAGGATAAGTTACCTTCCAAATCCCCAACATCTTCTCATAAAAGCATATATGCTTATCCTTGTAGATGAAGCTGATGCTCTACTGTTTACAATAAAAATAAATTTCATTTGTTTCCTTCTGAAACACTATATAAACAGGATGTTTTTGTTTAAATTAATACTGAGTTTAATTCCACACGCGCAGGAGTATAATATTTAATTAAAATCATCCTGTATACAATAATATATGCAATATTATGGTGGACCACATTTAGGTTTATTTCGAAAGAATGAACACTGTTCTTCACATGATCGTAGTTAATATTCTAGGACATTCATTTTTTTTTTTTTGTGAATCAAAATTCAAACAGAGATTAAGAAAGAACTGTAAAATACAAACTTAGGAGAAGGAATTTATCCCAACGTTTGAAATGAAAAATTTTATACCCTAACATTATTATAATTCGTATGATTAAACTATTTAGTATTTGTAAAGAATGTACACGCCACCAATTTATGAAATATACTGTTAATATCCTATTAGTGTAACAGTGTGCATGAAGACAGATAGCAAACAAATTTCCTAACGCAACAATTTGTTCTCGTTTTTTTCTCCTGTGACTTTTATTACTTACAATAATTATTATTTATTTGTACATGTAATGTACCAAAATGTGGAACATAGAGCTGAGTATGTGTATTTATGATGATTGTCATTTGTTTTTATTAAAGGCTTCTTTATAGAGAGGAGTGTATTAAAAATAGAGTGTTGATTTATCCTTCCATAATGATAGCATTCTTTGTACTACACCTATCTCTTTGGCTGTGTTAATCTCAGTATTTGACACAAATATCTCATTAAGATTCAAGACAGTTATCATTCTAGCATCATATAAATATACCCTTACATTTAAATTCCTCATCTTGTAACCTGTCAAGTGTCGGGCTGTAGATGAAGTCACGAACTTAAGGACAGAGGTTGTGATAATGTGCTGCCTGGTGTGGAATATTGCATACCGCAGGAGGCGGTGACAGATGAGTAATTTCAATTAATATTTTATTAAGATATATAAATCTAATATAAAATTAAATTCAAAGGATCACAACCTTCATGAATTCTACCTTCCTAGCCCAACCAGTGACCTGTTCAGTCCCCATTACATTCTCCTTCTATCACAAATCATCTTGATTTCTCCTCCCGTTGGGTATCAACTCTACTGTCTTCCATCCTTAGCATAAAGACATCAGATTCCACCGAAATAGATTGGTATCCAAATACCAAATTGCACGGCGTCATCTTCAAAAAGACAAAAAGTATATATTTACCATTTCCTGTCACATTGGTGCCATATGGTTCTTTTTAACCTGCAGCAGCTACAAAATTTGTTTACGAACTTAAGTTTCCTTTTTTAAGCCTGTTTTTACTGACTGCCCTTAACTACACGTACATATTTGAACAAAATTTAGTACTGCTAATTTATATATATATATATCCTTTTTTAACTTAATTTTTCCTCAGAAATCCAAGGGGGGGGGGGTTACCTGGCTTGCTTCCGCCCTCTCAGATCCCATTATCCTCAAAATAAAATTTTTGTTAAATTATTTAAACGTATTCTTACCGTTCGCTTATGTAATCTGAAATTCTGAGCTCTTTGTCACGAATCTGTGAGCTGTCTCCACTATTCTGATTTTAATGGAATCGTTTGGAGCTTCAAGAATAGCTAAAATGCCCCATTTATGTATGCATACCGCAGAAATTAGAAAAGACCTAATAGGGGCTGTTTCTGTCAGGTTTTGGTGCGCAGGAAGCCAGGTCTCTGGTGCTGCAGAAGTAACACTGCCTACATACTGCACTGACTATGCTCTGTGCTTGCAGGACTGATTAGTGAATAAATAAATATCAAAATCATGAAAACTTGAACCGTTCCGTCTAGTGTGGCCGGTGAAGACTTTTCTTATTTCAATTATTTATGCCCTTACATGTTTCGGTCTTCAGAGACTATCATCAGAGGGACACCTTTCAATCAATACAGTTGGAAGTTACTATTACAATATACGTGTACACGTATGTTCTGAACGTTAATATATTGTAGCGTGTTTTGAGTTCGAATCTTGTGGGTCACGTGTATAAGCCTTATCCCACTTCTGACACCAATTGTCATGTATTGGGCGTATAACGCGACAAATAAATTCACGCAGTCGTCTGATATATAGCGAATTTATTCCCTTCGCTCACTTACACACTTTACAGGCATCACACTTGCAGTGTTACAATCACTGCTCACAATATACGGCGAGACACTCCTTAGACGGATATTCCAAACTGACTTCTTAGACGGGCGATCCGAAGCTTTCTTCTTCGAAGACTATTCCGCGACTGACTTCTTCGAATGCTATTCCGAGACTCACTGTCTCTCGTCGAAGCTAGGCTANCGTCTCTCTTATTATTTCTCTTGACGGGGGTCCAAACGTGTGCCCCCCTGTCGTTCTCGAGAAGAGGGTTCTTTGATGTTGTCCTGTATGTGTTTGTGGCGCGCTGTGTTGTTTTTCCAGCTGTATTGATGTAAAGGTGTCCCTCTGATAATGGTCTCTGAAGACCGAAACATGTAAGGGCATAAATAATTGAAATAGAAAAATTTTCACCAGTCACACTAGACGGAACTGTTTTAACTTTTCATGACATTGTTAGTGTGACGGACCAGAATGAAACAAATCAACTATCGAAAGTTCGATTTGAGTATCTCTCTGCAGTGTTCGTGATGTCATTTAATTCGGAGGAACATACGACCTCCATTTTCACGGCCGAAAAGTAATCAGCAGAAATTGTTTTTCCTGCTTGGTTTCTCTCTTGGCTTACTGTTAACCCTGAAGATGGAGGAGGTATGTTTCCTTCGAAAAGTCAGGCTTTTACCGAACTGCGCGGTTGTTTTATTGGCTTAATCTTCGACACTGAAGATGGATGTGATATATTTCTCCGAATTACTCGTCTGGTTTCTTATACGGCTTACCGTTCGACACTGAAGATGGAGGCGATATATTTCTCCGAAATATGTAGTGTTACAACCTACAGTACCGTACTGATCAAGTCAGAAGTAATTACATTATCCATAACTGAAATATGTATTTTGTATGGTCTGTAAACAGATGTAGGTACATTTAGTTAAAGTGCAGTAGTACAGTCAACACCTCACCTTATGGCTACAGCACAGTTGGGGAGGGGGGACGTACAGGGAGTCCAACACTGACTGCGCATTCGGAACGGTACAACCATGTCATGTGATGCAGACGAACAAATAATGCAGTGTACAACTCGGGTATTTATAAGTGACATTCCAGGAAAAGCTACGCAGTGGATGGGCAGGTCCATTCGTGAAAGTTGGTGGGATTTATGATTAGTCTGCTCAGTGCGAGCAGACGTCTCAAGTTCAGTTAAAAGCATTCTTCCTTGCACAGTAAGTTAAAAGTTTTGACTCTTGGAGTCTTATTTGAGTGTATTATTCTCTATCTACTGTATGTATATTTTATTTTATTGTTTATTTTTATTCGTTGATTTTCTTTCTTCTTTATATTTGTAAATTTTTTCTATCTCCTTTAACATTCCACCTACACGAAATAAATTGAGTGGAAAAGTGTTGCATTCACAATCAAGAGAAATTGTTAGTAATGTATATAAGTATATGAAAGAGGCTGGGCCAACAATTACAGTGAAGAACATAGGAGTGGAAGTAGCAAAGGCAACAAGTGTATCGGAAAGTAGTGTCAGAAGAATAAGAGAAACAAAAAATATCGAATCTCGGTCTTCCACTTCCTTTTCGACACCCCATAAAGAAAGACCTAGGAAATCTCCACTAGCCACTTTGAGCATTGAGCAACAATTAATGGGACAGGAAGGCCTTTTGGACGCATGGCGGGAGTTCGTCTTCCATGTTGGCGGTGTTAATGATGACCGTTCTGATTATATCTCCGATTCATCTGGTGGTGACGAGGAAGGACAGGCATGTGAAGATGATATTTATGCGGACATTGTCAGTGTTGCCCCTTTAGAATAGACCTGTGTAATATGTAAATAAACTCATGTATATAACAGTGAAAAGTGTATAATAGTGTATAGTGCATAACAGTCTGACATTCGGCACATAAAACTTGAAACATCGGATGTGTGAACATCATCGAGACTAAACCGCCAACATGGGCCGCGCCATAGCTCAAGCGGTTAGTCGTTGGCTTTCCACAGCGGCGGCCCGGGTCAAGTGGTCTGGTCAAGTGGGATTTATGGAGGACAAAGTGGCGTTGGGGTAGGTTTTCTCAGAATACTTCGGTTTCCCCTGCCAATCTTCATTCCACCAATTGCTCCACAATCACCCTCACCTATCATCTGGTGGTGGTACAGTAGGCCAGAAATGGCCGCAATACAAGGGACTTAGTCCCACCACACTGGCAATAAAAACAAACAAAAAAGAAATGCCAACACTATGCAATATAATGAGGTAAGAAGTTATTTCCTATTGAGAACGCCTGTACTGTATTCCCCTCCACACTTGTCAGCATGCTGGAGCTCTCCCCACCACTACCAATACTTCTCCTACTCCGCGTCGGAGGACGGTCACTTCTAAATACCCGGGCTGTACTACAGCGCAATCGAATGACGTGTCTGGAATCCAATGCACAAGGAAAGCAAGACGTTACCGCACGGTTTGTGAACCAACACGGCAGTGAAGAGCTCGAGATGAGTGTTTTTGAAGTTATGTACAAGTTCAGTAATTTATTTTTTGTTTATTTAAGGCCCTGCCAGTTTCACTGACTATATAGCTTGGCAGGGGAGAGTGATAATTAATTAGGAAGAACATGAAAAGAAAAGACCGTGGCGTAATTTAATATACTGTGACCTGCATTTACTTTGATGGACTGAGGAAAACCACAAAATGGTTTCAAGATGATTGGTGAACGGGACGAGATTCGAATCCGGCATCGCCGTGATACAGATCAGAACTCTTAGCCCCTCCCGGGCCATACTCGCTGGGTGTTGCATCTACAAACGAAAATCAGACAGTATATATTAATATGGAAATCGAAACTTCCAAACTTCATCACAAGATCGGAAATTCTGATAAAAGCAGGTCAGACGTTAAAGTTCGCGGCTTGTAATCGGGAAATGCCCCATTCGATTAGCGATCGGGAGACCGAATATGATTATCTTCAGTCTGTCTCGCCAAATGTCGGGTTAGTACCATATATTGGACAACGACACAATTTACTTCCACAAGATATATATATTTTTTTGTCTATCCGCTCCATTTACTCCACATCCTCACCTCTCCTTACCCTCAGTAATTATTAGTACTAATGAAAACACATAAAAGTTCCTCATTACATGTTCGGTGATCAAGTCTGTCCCCATTTGACTCAGGCCTACTCATCCAACTTTTCCCAGGAACCGAGCAAGATACTTCAAGCGGAAACGCTTCTGACTTGTGTACCGCAGATGCCTGGTTCGAATCTCGGTCAGGACACCGAATATCTCGAGTTTTGCAACATTTTCCTCATTCTCTACAGCCAAATTCTGGGTTAATATTGTCACGTGTATGTGTGACTATAAACAGGATTTTGGGTTGGAGGTTGGATTTGTTGACCACTTTAGCACACAACTCGTAGTTACACTTAATTATAGTGCCATCACTAATTTCCACACTTTACAAAACAACAGTATTTTCCAACCCGCATTGTCTTCACTATACGTTTCCTGGTAACGGATTCTAACAACGGCTATTCCTCTGCTTCCGTGCTCAAGTCCTCTCTGAATGGCGGCTCCCGTCCAACTGCATATGCTTTCTTTGGTATAAAACACCGTCTGCAACAGTATCTCTACTGTTGCATGCGTATTTGCTGCCGCAGGAACGTGTTTACCGAACCGTTGCCTAGAAACGGCTCTACAGGCTATAGTACTTGAACTAGGTCGTTACCATTTCGTCCTGAGCCGGGATAGCTCATTCGATATAACAACGGGCTGCACGATTGGTGTCCGTTTCCTGTGAAGGTATGGCAAGAATTTTTCTCTTCTCTACAGAGTTCAGCCAAACTTTGGGCTCTTTCAACTGACATCTAACCGGTGAAGGGGCTTTTCTCTGGGGGTAAAGCATACGGAGAAGGAAACCGAACATTCACCTCCGTCTAGTGCCGAGGTCAAGAATAGTGGAGCTATACATCCACTCCCCGATACGTCTTCGTGGTATGATGCTTAATTAATTAATCTCAGGAATAATTTCACAATTTTTACCATTTCCTCATATATCGTTTCCTGTTCATTGTCGATTATCATCCAGTTTTTAGGCACGATATATTCTGAGCCTCTACTACGTACTTGCAGCGCTACGGTGGAGGTATTCTAACACGCCTCCATGCGAGAATATACATATAAATATATAGTATTTACAGACTCTTCAAATGTCTGTTTCTGTGTTCTTTCATCAGCCGTTTTATTTAAATTGTTCATCACATTTTATGCTCATTATTTACTATTTTATCCTGCCTCTATTAAGTTCTTTCTTAATATCCTAATCCTCGATACGATGTAGCCTAGTGCAAGCTTCAACCGAGATTAAGTTCCTCATCTCTAAAGATGCTACCGTGTTCATGTGTCTTGCTTAATTGTCTAAGATTCACTTCCATACGAGCACAAAGAATTTGCAGGGCTCTTGCATGAATTATTTGAATATCTAAAAGTTTAAACGGCATAAAAATCGTTAAGGTTCGAAGGTTTCCTTTGATATTTGCATCGATTCTCCTTAGTTGCTCTGATACGAACACAAATAACTTTTCCAGACGTTGTGGGACTCAGTTCCTGGAAACCAAGAAGGTTTCTGTAAATGTTTACCGAGAATCACATCCTGTGTCCCCTGCAGGATGCAGCCGTACCAACTCCCTGGGAATGCATTCCGAAAACAGCCACAAGGGCAAAGAAATTCTTGAACATAATAATATACTTTTGACTGCTTGACAGTTCAAAAAATACAAAATTATTAACACTTCTCCTGACGGACCTACTTCCTAACTCCACGATCGGGAGTCCTTGATTATAAACTAATAGTTGCTCAGCTATTCAAGATATTCCCAGTATCCTGAGCCAGATCAATCAAACACATACCACAGAATCCTAGTGGCATGTAGACCTGTTGTTAAGAGGTGACTCTGTAAACGGCTCGGTAAACACGTTCCCGTTGCTAGGCAGCAGATTCTTAGTAATGCAGCAGTGGGACGGAACGATAGAAGAGCTGTGTTTTCTATGTGGTCGGTGTCGAGATGTTGTAAACAAGGAATAAAGTTAGTTAAGTTGAGTTCTGAACAGGAATCTGTGAAGACTTGAAACGAAAGCAGAACAACAGCTATTGCTGGAGCCTTTAGCAGGAAACGTCTAGTAACAGACTGAGAACACTAGACTGCGTGCTAGTGAAGTGTAAATTGTGGAAATAGCGATAGTTGTTATTTGTAGATACTATCTATAAGTGATCAATAATTCCACTCACCAATCCAAACCCCGTTTAAAGTCACCCCTACACGTGACAGTACATTTTAATATTATTCTACTACATATGCCTAGGGAGGCACGCGATGGTGTAGTTGGTTGAGGCACTACGCTATAAGCTGGTAGATCGCGGGTTTAATTCCCGATGAGGTTATTGGTTTTTCAATTGACCTAATCATTCCAGTCACACTATGGCCCTGGGACCGACTAAGCGTCTAACAGAAATGAATGCCAGGAATCTTCCTGGGGGTAACGAGGCGTAAGGCTGACAACCACACCGCCATCTGTGTGCCAATTATCTAGAAAATGTTGGAACCTCGACGTCTCACAAACGTATGGGCCTCCACAGCCTGTTATAGGGACAGCTTTACTTCTTTTAACACATGTCTAGAAGTTTCTCTTGGTCTCCTTCCTTCTGGCTTTCCCAACAAAATGCTGTATTTCTCTTCGCCCCCATGCGTGTTACATGGCCTACCCATGTATTCGTTAACTTGATGATTCGTATGTGGCGAATACTGAAACCATTGTTAAATAACCGCCTCGCATACTTAGTAAACTTACTATAACCGTATCTGTTCTTCGGCTATTTTCTCCCTCTTACGCCAACAGATTCTAAATTGATTGAAAATCAAATATTCTGTCCATGTCTTACCTGCCGTGTAGACACGATTCCCATCTGCAGTGTAGACTCCATTTCGTGTTAAGGGCGATTTTCTTCTGTTTCTGTATGCGAACTGATGCTTCTCAGCGGTGCCCCCTAACACTCTTCTGATCAACTTACTCTCGCTTCAGTTCACATCGTCTGTTGGAATCACTTGATGGTATGATATCTCCGTTCCTTGTTAGTAATATCCCCCCATTATATTCTGCACGGCTGGATATTCCTGTGAAACTGCTGCAGACATGTCTCAGTATTCTGCTGGCTTAACAGAACGAAGACGAACCGAAGAATTTTGAACATAGATTGTATTTAATTTATAACGAAAAGTATCAGGTACAATGCAATAAAAAGTTTAGAACCAACCTATTTATTTTCAATCGTAATATACTTGATGTGAACAAGGCATGTAGCACGCATAGGAGAAAAGCTCAGTGTGTACAAATTTTAGTAAGAAAATTTGAAGGAAGAGATCAACAGGAAAACCTAGGTGTTGATGGGAGTATAACATTGAAACCGATCTTAAAGAAATAAAAGGATATAAACTGGATTCATCTGGCTCAGGACAGGGACCAATTGCAGGATCTTATGTAATATAAAAGGTAAAGCTATCCCTGTAACAAGCTGTGGAGGCCCATAGGGTTGTAAGACGTTGAGGCTCCCACTTTTTTCTAGGCAATCGACTCACAGACGGAGGTGAAGTTATCAGCATTACGCGCCGGCCGGCCACCCTTTAGCTCCAGAAAAATTCCTGATACTCATTTATGTTAGAGGCTGAGTCGAACCCAGGACTATAATGCATCTGGAAATGGTAAGTCAATTGAAAAAACCCAATGACCTTATTGGGAATCGAATCCAGGACATTCCGGCTTGTAACATAGTGCCCTGTTATGTACTCTACATGGACAAACATTAGAATTAATGAGAAATAATTGAGTGCACTGTTTTTTGTAGTCGGAAGTGTTAATGGGCCCCATATAGGGCATATATGGATGGATATTCATACATGCCATGAAGCCGAATTCGAACAGTGTATTTGAAAATACTGATAGAATGTCGTTATTGAACGGAAGTGCCCCAGTGCATAAGACCCTCGCTTTTATGTTCACACTAGGAAAAGAAATTTACTGTTAAAAGTGACGACATGACGGAATTCATAAAGCCTACATTCCTGCTTCATCTCCTCCTACTTCTGCAGAAATGTGTTACTAATAAATCTCTCAGCTTTATATGATTTAAGGCCAAGAGTGCATACCTCATCACGCATATATATTTTTTTTAATTCGTTTAGTGGGTCCACTAGGTACGGCGGCCACTGATTGGCCTATTATAGCCTGCCCCGGGTGATTATGATGATGGAGAATTTGGTGGAATTAATATTAGCAGGGGAAACCGAAGTACTCGGAGAAAACCTGCCCCAGCGCCACTTTGTCTACCACAAATCCCACTTGACCAGACCCGGGATCGAACCCGGGCCGCAGCGATGGGAAGCCAACGACTAACCGCTTGAGCTGTGGCGCGGCCTTATGCAGCTATGTTATCTTATGCTATGAGTTCTAGGCGGTGGACATGAAGGTTGCAGGTTCAAGTCTTTGTAATGGTTATATTTTATTTTTGTTACATATTGGAATTATATTACACAGAAATTATTATTATTAATATTGTCAGCATCACGTTATTATTATTATTATCATAATGTGGCTGGTGTGGCCTTCAATATCAATAATCAGTCACTCGATACCAAATTTGGTGAAAATCGGCCAATTGATTCAGAAGTTGATTTGGGACACACATAGAACGGTGATCCTTAAATCAACACGTTCTATCCTAAGAAAATGGTAGCACACTAAAAATATTGTTCAAGATTATAACGTTAAATCTTCACTGTTTTGCGACAGAGATGATAGACCAGTGCGTATAGGTATAGATTATGAATTGGCCGGACGGGTTTCGATTACATGAGCTGAAAGTTTTTTTGTCTTCTTAATAGCTGCAGACAGGTTCTGGAACACATAAAGTTTCCCATACAATTGTTTGGGGTGCTTTTCTGCGGGATTAAAGCAGCCTGGGTGTGAAGATGAACATTCACCTTCATCTAGTGTCGAGGTCAAGAATGGTGGAGCTACATCTTCACCCCCCATACACCTTCATGGCATAGTGCTTACTTAAATGAACACAGGGTCAACTTTATCTCCGTTTTCAAGCATTCGGTTCTGAACATATACATGTTGACTTAGACCAGGTTATTCATGTGAAGATGGTAGCAGTATGTCCCTCCGAAACGTCGGGAAATTATTGGGCTACACATCATCATATCCCAGAAGAGAGTGCTATTTGCACCATTCATGTTCCACCATCCCTTGTGTCATACGTTCCGCTGTACAGTGCTTTAAATATCTGCACCTTTTATTCTGTCTCCTTACGTTTCATTACTTTAGTGTATGACAAGATATTGTGTTTGTGACTGGAGGAATGTGATGTTATACCGTTGCCCACCCTGCCGGTTGTAAACAAAGGAATAATGATACAGCGAAAGCCCGGTATTACCCAGTTTGTGATTATGATAAAGTAGCATGTTTTGTGTTATACATATATTTAGTTTTAGTATAGATTAAATAAGTGTAGAATTAACGATTTTGACACCAGAAATAGGTTTAAAGGAAATAATATACAAGAAAGTGTATAGTGTCTGGATACAATGATGTGTCTGTGAGTGAACAACTGAAGACAGGTATCGGAAGTTACACTATCGAAAACAAGTAAGTCAAGTGAATGAAAAAAATTTTAATTAGAATATGATAATATTTGTATTAGAGTAAAAATCAGAATAAGTTCAGTATGATTACAATTTGGAAATCCTGTGTGGTTTCACTGGGTAGCAACTTAAATGTTATTAGGTTTATTTTGGACTATATCCATCGTCTGGTATATAGAAGACAAAAAACCACAACGTTTCGGAGACTGGATCTGCCTCCTTCCTCAGGTGGATGGGGCAGGATAAACCTACTCAGTTGAGCCCGTTAGAAAGAGCTAGTCTCAATCACTGGAGGTTCAGTGATTGATACTAGCCTGACTAGCCTCCACCTGAGGACGGAGACAGATCCAGTCTCCGAAACGTTGTGGTTTTTTGTCTTCTATATACCAGACGATGGATAGAGTCAAAAATAAGCCTAATAGTTCTGTACAGCATACAGCTTCGTCAGAATCCTTTCAAGTCTATTTAACTTAAATGTAGATACTTACATTTATTGTGGTTTGGAAATGTTTGAAACTCCAAAGACAAGGTAGGGACTGGATTCTATAATAAGCTTTCATAAAAATGACAATGTAAATTGTGCATTGATAAGTCATGTGACTAGGAGGAGACATGTGAAGCAAATACTGCATTAGGGAAGAAATGAAGGCAGCACTATATCTGGGTGTAGCAATGAATTGAATTTCCTCACCCACAAATTTTAATATAAATTTTTATAAATGATACCCTAGGTCAGGTATTTGTGAAGTCCATAGGAAGAGGAACAGAGGAACTAGTGTAGCAAGTGACATAGAATGGCCAGTATTGTGTCATATTGAAACTTTTATGTAGAGATTTAGTAATACAGTTAAAGTATTATATTCCAAACTACAATATACATTTTAAATGTTCTGTTTCAAAATATTGTAAGGAAAACTTAATACTTTCAAGAAAATATTTATTACTTTCATATGCAGAATTGAAACGGTATGACTGCTGTTCCTTCTTACAGCTTCAGTATAAGCATTTAACAGGAACCCCATTAATTATAATTTTTCAAGAGTCAGACTCATATTAATTAAAAAATTTCAGACATAAATTGCATTTTGGTTATATAATTGATGATATTGCGAACCTGGATAGTGCAGTCGGTATAGTGACTGGCTACGGACTGGACTGCAGATGGCTAGGATTCGAGTCCCGGTAAGGTCAAGAATTTTCCCTGGTTCATGAACGTCCTCTATTGTTGGGTTACATAAATAAGCTCTAAAGTTGATTTCTGTCTTTTGGGATATGAAGTCATGTAGTCCGTTTGAAATTGAGCCGATGTTTCGGTGGAACATGCCGCTTCCATTATCAGGGTTTAAGTGGCTGGTGAAAGAGTGGCATTATATAGAAGCAGAGGGGGACAGAACTCTCCACATTGACCACTGTGAGGAACTAAAATCCAAGATGTCTTAAAGTTATTTGGTACAAAACCATGAAAGATAATTTTAAAATGAGATTTTGCCTGTTGAAGGAATAGGCTTACTTCCAAGGGAAAGGACTTTATAAGAAAGGGGAAGTGACAAGAAGTTGGAGCACACTGCATAATGAGAAGCTTCAGAAGTTGTACTCTTCAATAAACCTTACTGGGACGATCAAATCAAGGGACATGTAGAAAGCAGAAGAACTGATTCAATTATTTCCTAGGAAGTAGGAGTAGGTGAGTGGTCAGCTTCTCACCCCAACCGCTTTTTCTTTGGGAAATGAGCGCCCGGGACTCACTGGACAGGAGGCTGGGTGAGCCCCAAAGCTTATCTTGGCCCTGTAGAGTAGAGAAAACCCTTTTTTATGCTGGAACTCGAATCGCGTTTGTTTGGTCTTATAATTATAAAATTATTGCAGTTCATCTATTTTTCCTTATAAAACAAAGAACTTAGGCTAAAATGTAAAGGAATGAGAACAAATGCCATTGGCGTTTATTTTTCCTTGTTCAGTTATTTTTCACCGTGTCATAATGGAAACGTATTATAATTTGAATCCGTTAATGATAATCGATATTTATGTTACTTCGTTATTGCCAGTTGAGTCGTCGAAGCCAGGCTGCACAAGCAGACTGGCTCCTCTCCTGTTGGCTTGTTATGCTGCCATCTGCAAGCTAAACTAGAACTCACTGCGCCGCACTATCCATCAGCGCTCTCTAGCGACAATGTGTTGAGATAGGTCTTCCAACGTCGTTGGTTCACCACTCCTCGTTCATGTGAAGAAATGTAGTGATTAGCAGTTCCTTGTTTTTATTTACTGGGGTTTCTAAAGACGCTATACAATTCCTGATTGTAGGATGACTGATGAACGATTAGTTCGAAAGGATTTGGAAGGAATCTGCCGTGGCATAATTCAGTGTTCGAAAACTTATTTTCACCTGCGGCGTACTCGGGTTTGTCGAGGACGCATGATGGTAAACCACAGGACTTTGCCTCACGAGAACGGGGTTCGAAACTGTACAGGCCTTAATAAATATGTAAAATTCTCTGCGAAAATTCCCGTCATGCCTCGTACCTCGTGACTGCACATCTCTTGCAAAACACTGGCCTATTCTAAGAGATATTCCGGCAATTTCATAGAGGGTCTGAGGAAAACACAGAAAAAAACTCACTCAGGATAGCCAGAGTCGAGGCCGAGATTCGAACCGAGTACTTCCTGCATACAAGTGTAGTGGGTTGTCATTAGAGCAAAAACCGGTGGGGGGAAGGGATTTTTTCTGAAGAAGGAAGTGAAACCATGAGGAAAGACATTTTCAGTGTAAAGTTGAGTTGAAACAATTCTTCACGCCTTATGTAACCATTTCTTCCGCCAGAAGTACTAACCTAGATATTAAAATTAATTATAGCGATTAGGTTCGAACGGCACACCGTAGCGTAGTTGGTTGAGGCACTATGCTACAAGCCGGAAAGTCGCGGATTCGAGTTCTGATGAGGTGGATTTTTTCAATTTACCCAATCCTTCCAGCCGCAGTATGGCGCTGGTGTCGACTCAGTCTCTAAGATAAATGAGTACCAGGAATTTTTCGTGGCGTAAAGGGCGGCCGATGCGTAAGGCTGACAATCTCACCACCATTTGTGAGCCGATTATCTAGAGAAAATGTGGGAGCCTCGACGCCTTACAACCCTATGGGCCTCCACGGCCTGTTACACGGAGAGCTTTGAGAATTTATCGCCATTATTCATCGCTAAATACAGAACGCCGGGCACCATTTTCATTTTTAAAATACTGAATTTTTTATTCACAGTTTGGAATGGTACGTACTATGAGTCAGTTGAGCCGGTCACGGTAGCCGAGCGGTCTAAGGCATGCACTGTCTTCGCTCACTCGGAAGCCGGGATCGTGGGTTCGAATCCTACTCAGGGAATGGATGTTTGTGTGCGTTTTTCTGTGTTTGTCTACAGGTAGAGGCCTTGCGACGAGCTGATCACTCGACCAAGGAGTCCTACCGTATGTGTAAGATCTAGTAAACCGAAGTGAAACGGAGAGTTTCATGGAGGTAGGCCTAGGCCCAAAATTGGGGTTGTAGCGCCACAGAACAAAAAATGAGTCGATCATGAACAATAATATATGGACGAATGCATATGGTTACAGTTATTTAAGTAAAAGAATCACGCGGTTTCGGTGAAAGCCAAAATGGTTTTATCGCAGACTTCCTTCTTTTTTTTTTGTCCCAAATTCTGACGTTGCGCGATAGCTCAGTCAGTTTAGTTACTAGATTTGGGGTACACAATCGATGTTGGATTTCTGTCGAATCCACTAAGCAGGTGTGTGAGATTGGAAGTAGTTTTCAGGTTAAGAATGCATCGAGCTATATCTTTACTCCAAACTACCTAAGTTTCCGAAAATAAGGTCCCTTATTCACCAGTGGCGACCGAACTCTTTTTGACTGGCGATTAAGTATTCCATTCTGCGTTCGGAAGGTAAGGTCTGGATTTCGGGAAATCTTACCCTTAGCACTTGCGGCACAGAGAACATGACGAACTGTATCCAGAGACATGGGAACCAGAGGAAACATCCATTGCTAGACAACGGCTCAGTAAACAAATTCCCTCGACAACGAACAGGCAAGAAAAAATGGGGGAATAGTTTGGAATTATATTTTCTGTTCGGTCCACGCAAAATGGCTATAAAGAAGAGTTCAGGCGAGAATTGAGTCAGTTGACATCCGGGATTCCAAGCGATCAGTTAGTCGAGAATTGGGCTCTGCAAGGGAGGCTGAGAAGATGACGTCATGGGTTCAGTTGTGGGATATTCGGCAGACAGTAACGACGTGAACACAGAAGCTGGAGAATCTTAATTATTTAGATCCGTTACCAGGAAATGTCTAGTACAAATATTGCAGAGGAATAGCCATTGTTTAGAGCTGTTACCAAGCAACGATTAGTGAAAGCAGACTGAGAAGACTTTGCGTGGAGTGATTTGTAGTGGGTAAATCAGCAATAGTGTTTTAATTACTTGTAGATCCGTGTTGTGTATAAAACTGGTCAGTAAATCCAATTCACCAGTTCATAACCTGTCTGTAATCACAGACTCTAAATCGTGATAATATCAAATAGTTATTAAGTCAGAACAGTTAATTTTTCTACCTCATGCCTGGTCTCCTGCAGGGCATCAGAAAGAGACTAAACTTGGGCCCCGACTACAGGTGAGGACCAAAGGAGAGCATCAGTGATTACTGAAACGTATTTTGTCCGGCTTCGAGTCGGGATAGCTCAGTCGGTATAGCGACTGGCTACGGGCTGGACGACCGAGGGGCCGGAGTTCAAGTCTCGGTAGGGTTGGGAATTTTCTTTTCTCCACGTCATCCAGACTGGCTCTGGGGCTCTCCCACCCTCCTATCCAATGGGTACAGGGGCCTCTTTCCCCGGGGTTAAAGCGGCCGACGCGTGAAGCTGACCACTCACCTCGAACTAGTCCCGATGTCATGAAATATGGATCTATACATCCACATCCCCACACATCTTAGTTAGTTAGTTAGTTATTAGAGAGGGTGGGTTT